CTTTGGTCAATATGCAAAAAAAACAAAAAAGAAGAAGAAGAAGAAGAAAGTCAGAGATAAAGAAAGAAAGAGAGAAGGGGGGGTTGGTGAGAGAGGAGAGAGACGTTTCCTATTTCACATGAAAACTAGGATGTTATGGTGTGCATACTACATTATTCTTTTTTATAATTTCTCTTACAGCTATTGCTTTGAATTACAGAGGACTTTTTGTCAAGAACGAGAAGGAGATGAATCAAAAATTCATCTGAAGAAGTTCTGCATAGGGTGAGGCGAATATACCTCTGGTGGAACCAACATTTGCAAAAGTTCTATTTCCTTAAGCAATTATTAGCGGTGATAGTTTGACATGTACAAGAGTTGTCAACAACTGACTTTAAACAAAGTACAAAGCAGATGTAAACAGTGCCTTGGGCAAAATTAACTTGGGGGACTAGCCACCTCATGAATTATAAATGGCTATCTATTACTGCAGTGAGTGGTACTACCAGGAGGCTTCGTTCATTGAAATAGACTAACCTATTTTCAACACATTTGAAAGTCAAGTGACAGTGAGCCACTAAAGAATGCAGTTCAGGGAAAAATGAGCCTGTTATTTAGTAAACGAGTTGTGTAATTTCTAAATTGTACCAAACTAACCATGGAATACCCTCAGGGATTTGTGTCATCTGTTATACACGTTCACCTTCTAACTGCCATTCACTTGCAAATTAATTCCCTTCACAGAGCACATTTTAATCCATCTAATTAGCAAAGTGGCCTATACATAAAAGCCTATGTTTTATCTTTTTAATCCTCACCTCCCTAATGCGGCCTAGAAATAATTGAAATTATGTCAACTCAGATTATATCAATTCAGGATGATTTTAACAAACTGGACTTGGACTTTAATTTGTCCTTTTTGAGGATCCATGTAAACGAACGCCGTTTCTGTGCAACTCCGAGAGGTTTGCATCTCTGGAGAAACAAAGTTTGAACTCATCAACAGAAAAAAAAGCCCACAGGTTCAGAGTATTTCCTCTTTACATACCTTCAGAGTATTTCCTTTGTCATAATTCTCAAGGTGGAAATGTAGCACATCTACTGACCTGAGATGACAAAGAAGAGGGATTAGAGAAGCTCCCAGATGCAGCTGTGCAGGAGCCACGAGGAGTCTGGCTGGTCAACATTGATAAAAGACAGCAGCATGTCCTAACCAGGGACGTGTGCCTGCTTGTGCCTTGTGGGCTCTGTCTCAGAAAGGTGGTGAGACGTCTGGATTGGCACCTCTCTGGGTACACTGCAGTAACCACTGGAGAACTGTGAAGCCTGAACCGCTGAGACTCGCTGTAGAACAAGCCGCTCACCAAAGGCTTCTTTAGACATGCAGAGAAAATAGATTCTGAAAGTCAATTAAACAGAGCGCGTTGGGCAGGATTTTAGAGGTACAAGACTACTTTCTTTTTGTCTATGTCAGAAAATGAGTTTTGCCTTTTTGTTTCAGGTGACACACAGATTTGTCAAATCTAGTAAGAGCTGCGCTAGAGCTGCAGAGAGCAATGTCAGTTTCCTCTCCTGTCAGATAAGCACAAGATGATGAAGTGTGCAGCAGGCACACAATCACTATACTGGTGCAACTGAAGGGTGGGATTGTACTTTGCCAGACTTTCAGCACACACGCAACACTGAAGACACGGCTTGCTTTTTCAATCCCACATTCCCTTTTCCGTCTCTTCTTTTTCCTTTTTGCAATTTGCGAGTCTTTGCACAGCATGTGCAGCTCCGCCTCATCTTCAAAAGACCAGTAAATAAAATCTTTTTTACACCAGTGGAAATAAATACATAGCTGAATACAGTAGGAAAACAACACTGTGATCTAGCTCTACAAACACCTTGATTGGCAGGTGTATGGCACAAAGTGGGATTCAAGCACAGCTTCACACATTAATTGTAGCTGCCGTTAAAGGATGTTAACCAATATATATTCAATGCTCCCTTTTTAGACTCAGTTCTGAGGAGTCACTCTTCAAGCATGGCAGCGTGATGTGAGCTGCACCGCTGTAGATTTCAGGAGACTTGAAATACCTTTTTTAGTCAGAGCGTCACTGCAGAACAACATTCCCCCAAGCTGTTTATTGGCAACAAAATAAACTAAAATAACTTCAGTTTGTTTTGAATTGAAAGTCTTCATAAATGAAAATAAACAGCGCTGCAGCTATGTGCTGCCGAATATTCTTTCCCTTACAGATGAATATATATTTACTTTGTATACTTAGGCACATCAATATTTAATTTTCTCTTATTTGATTTGATTGTTTTGATAAGGTCCAGAATTATTTATCACCCTGGACACACTGAGGCCGTTGTGCTTTGTTGTTTTTGATTAAGGCCTTCAGTTACAAGTCTATGCTAATCTGAAGAACACAGGATTTGGTGAAGAACTTTAGATGAAAGTAGCCGCGCTCTGATAAAAGAACAGTGAACACAACACTGCATAACATTAGCAAGGTGGAGTTACTTCTACTGACTCATAATTGTCCAACATGCCTGGGAGATACACAGATGAGTTCACGGGACACCAAGAATCCTGGCCCCTTGTTTTGCATAATACTCAGCTTTGCATGGAAGCAGGGAGGGGCAGGTGCCAGTGATCTTCCCAGTGTCTCCAAGTCATTTTGTTTATCATTCAAATGAAAACCTTGTTCCATTATCCATGAGGGAGTGGGAGTAATGTGTTAATGTCCCTTACTCATGGCTCTTCTTTTGGTCCGAGGTGACAGCACTGCACCCGTCCATGTCACAGATGATGAGAGAGACAAAAGACAGACAGAGGGCGGCAGAAAACAGGTAATTACTTCATACCTACACTTTTAAAAAGGCGACTCCCCTCAGCATTTCTGTATGTTATAATTAGGCCAACCAGGCCACGGTCTCGGGATGCGTTGGAGGACGCACATATGTTGGGACTTTGATGAAATCTGAGGTGTCAAGCAGACATGAAGGGACCTCAGCATTTTTGCCCTTCACTTACACTTTTGTTTATGCTGCATGCAGTAAAAGAGTCTCCTTGTAGGGATCCTTTGCCTTTATGATACTCCATGTGATTGATTATTTAGTGGAAAACTCTACAGCTTAAATCAGTGTGAAGCCAGCAAATAAAGTCAAATAACAAGGGAGAGTGCAGGTCTGAGGGAGGGAAAGATCTCAAGATGTTTTTGAAGCGAGTCGGAGTAGCCAAAGGCGAGTAGATCTTCACACTTTCATATCCCTCTTTTTAATATTTCTCCCCCGTTTTAATGATGTGCTTCCTATCCTTGAGTAAAGTTCTTCATAGCCAGTCTTTTTGCCAGAGAGGATTTTTTTCTCTTTGAAATAAAATGTAAGTATATATTTAGTCTCCTAGTTTAGAGGCTTACAGGCCAAGGCAGAAATTCAAATTTGTGCTTTTATGAATAAGCATATTGACGGTTGTCTGGCTATTGCCAAAATGTTAACAATACATTAATAAACAGTGTGGAAGTGCTGCTCTGAAGCATTGCTGGAGGAATATATATATATATATATGTATAAACAAGTGTGCACATGCATGAGGATGTATATAGGCATATGGGGACATCAAGAAAAATCAAATATTGATGATGATAGTGGAGAAACTTCCAAAAAAACAAAAACAATGAAATCCAAAGCAGCAGGCGGCTGTCATTACAACACTTATAAGTATCTGAGGCCCAGATATCAAAGCAATCCTTTTCATTCAACTAGTCTCACAGAGGTCTCTTCTGCTTTAAACATATCTATAATGAAGGCCTCTCATCACACACTGTCCATCTCAATTATCAGCCAGCGCCTCATAGCTCCAGTTGCAAACCCTGAGGCTGACTGAATATACCTGCATCTCTTTTTTTCCTTGACTAAAAGACACTGGGTGCACTTGAAAGGACAGACAGCCAGTAAAGTTGGCATAATGTAACATTTCTTAGTCTGAATTTTAAAGCATGGGTAACTAGTACCCATGATGTTGAAATCGTATTACGTAATTGAAATACAAAAGACAATGATAAAG